GGGACCCATCACGGTCCCCACTCACAGCATTATTGCAAGGGCTCAATGAACTAATTTATGGGAAGCGCTTAGGTTCTTAGAACGCCGCTGGGCACAAAGTGCTCGATATTAATATCTAATACGTCTTTTCTTGCAGCTCCAACTGTGAACGGTGGTTGTGTCTGGTTTTCTCGCTGACGCCCTCGCCGGCTCTGCTGTCCGGTCCGGGCTCGGGAGGCAGACGTGGCGCCGGGGTTTGAATCCTGACTTTACTGTTTCTTAGGAGGAATATTAATGGTTACTATCTGGAGAATTCAATGAGAAAGCAAATGCAAAAAAACAGTCTAGAAAAATGCCTGGCACAGAGTAAATTTTCGTAACTGTTCCTATGACTCTTCCCAATTTCCAAACGAGGACACTGAGACTTGCAGAGGTTGTGGGAAGCTGGCGGCAGGACCAAGATGGGAACGCTACTCCCAAGCCCAATTCCTGGCACCGTCTGTGCCTCTTTCCTCTCAGGCCCCAGCGCCTGGCCCAGGTCCTGGCCCACGGTGGGCGCTCGGGAGGCACCTCCTGAAGGAGCACAGAGAATTGGTGGGTTGACAGACCAAGGTCCCCAGCCCGGAGATGGCAGACACAGACGTGAACCCAGGGCTCGGCTCCCTGTGCCACACTGGTTTACTCCAAACAACAAGCGTGGCGCCCAACAGATCAAGAGCCTTTCTACCTGGTGGGCCGTGTCCCAAGAGAAGACATCAGTGGCAGGAAAGAGTATTCACCTGGCCCTCTTGGTCCAGTGGGTGCCTCATCCTGAAGCCGAGGACACACGCTGCTTCCGACGTTCTGAGAGGAGCAGCTGGTGGCATCCAGGCGCTCTCAATAACAACTCCCCAGCCTACCTTCCCAGCTTCGTGCCCAACATACCGCCCAGCCCCCCACAGCCCTCTTCCTCTCTCCCCCGTCAGGACATGCTCTTTCCTGCCTCTTGGCATCAGCAGATGCTGTTCCCCCGCGCCTGGAATGCCATTCCCTCTCCTCCACCTGATGAGCCTCCTGGCGGCTGAGTCATCCCTCTGGGCTCCTCTGGCTCTTACACCAGTGGAGTCAGCGCTTGGAACCGTGTCTTGTTCCAACAGTCTGAGAGGAAGGCGTTCTGTTCATCTCTGTGCTAGTCTCCATTCGCCCCTCCAGACCCACTGTCACTCTCCTCCATGCTGCCACGCCCCCAGGGAGGCTGACCCACATTGACCGCATCCCTCTGGGCTCAGCCAGTGAGGAGCCCCCAGGAGACAGGCGGGTGGGAGGAGACTGAGGCCAGACTCCGTGCCTTCCGTCCCACAGCACCTGTGCCTTAGGGCTGCCTCTGTCCCAGGCGGCGAGCTCCTGATGGGACAGCCGTGTCTGAGCCCGTCTGCCTCTGCATGCAGAGGGGGCACAGAGAGACCCAAGGGAAATGTCCTTGACGCGATTGCACCAAAGTACCAACACTGCCCGCTGTGGGACTGAGTGAGTGGAACTGTGTTGGGTCCATCCATCCGTTCACTCGTTCCTCACTCGTTCAACCACAGGTGCTCATGGAAGGCCGTGTGCCGGGCTCGCGGGGCAGATGAGGACTGCCACACGGAGCTGGCGTCACAGTGAGGGGAGGCGGGCGTCAAGCTGCACAAGCAAACACACGCCTCACACCATGTCCAATGGCGACATACTCTACGAAGGAATAACGCAAAGCGGTGCAAAGCGACAGGGTGGGGTGCTGTTTTAGATAAGTGGTCGGGGCCGTTGGGCAGAGGACGTGAGGAGCAGGCCAGGCAATGCTCTGGTGCAAGGACATTCCACAGAGAGGGGCCAGGAGGGGGAAAGGCTGGCAGGGAAGCCGGGAGGCCCGGAAGACTGAGCACAGGGGAGACTCGCAGGAGACGGGAGGGGATTTGCTTTCTTGTATGGCCCCTTCCAGCTCTGAGATTGGAGGGAAGGCCTTGCAGGGCCAGGGCCCACCAGCCACTTCCTGAATCCTGCCCATGTGGGCACTCGCTCCATCTTCTCTCACTCCTCACAATGACCTTGTGAGGAAGGTCTTTCTACCCCTATTCCGCACATGAGGAACCTGAGGCTCAGAGAGGTTAAGTAACCTGCCCAAGGTCACACAGAGTCGGAGAAAGAACTGGAAATGAACCCAAGTCTGCGTGACCTGCAGCCCAGAAGATGTTTTCCCACTGCCAGCCAAGTCCATTTGCCAAGGACTTCCTCATCAGTAACATTGGACCTACAGGGACAGGCTGTCAGGAAGACCCGGAAGCTCCCAGCAGGGAGTAGGCATGTCGCAAGGCCACACAGCCAATGGGGAGGGAGCTGGGGTTCAAGCCTGCTCTTTCCACAGCCCCCCCCCCTCAAAGGGGAAATTGGCAGGTGAGCAGGAAAGCCGTGCGTGTGGCCTGCACTGACGCCTCCAAGGGCCTGGCTGCTGGCTGACGGGTATCATTTCAGCCCTTTCATTCCTAGTAGACGCCGTACTGTCCTGAAGACTGTCACTTCCTGTGGCTCACGCGGGATAATCAAGGCGGCTGCCTGGAGGGCGTTCGTGAAGAGGAAAGCATCGTCTCCGCTCCAAGCACCAGTCCTTTCCCAACCAGACACGCCCTCACGTGCAAGAGCACTGGCCTGGGATCCCGAGAGGCCCCTGCTCACTGTGTGGTCCCCCAGCTTGGCGAGGAACAGTCTCCCCTCAGCCTGGCGTCACCGCTTCATAGCCATGTGACCTCGGGTACAGCGCTTTCCTCTCCAAACCTCAGCTTCCTCATCTAGAGGATGGAGCAGTTATGTCTGCCTCCCCAGGTGCACAAGTGAGACGACACCTCACACCCCCGCCGTGGGTCGGTGCTCAGGAGAAGGTGGCTGTGACAGTGACGGCGCTGGAGGCGATGAGGGTGCTTGTCACATTTTGAAAATAGGGAAACTGGGGCCAGAGAAGGGAATGGGTTCCTCCGAGGCCACACAGCAAGGTAACCCACAGCCACTTGGGTTTCTAGGCCAGAACCCTGACTACGGACTCACAGGTCGTGGTAACGACGGAGTTTTGTGGAAGCTTTCCTGCAGCTGGGCACTGCCACGCTTTCCCTCATTTAACCCTCGCAGTGAACTGATGAAGGAGGTGTGGTTACTATCCCTACTCTGCAGGTAAGAAGGCTGAGCTTAAAGAGAGGAGGTGACTTGCCCGAGGTCACACAGCCAGCGAGTAGTGAAGCCCTGGTGGTCTGGCTTAAACCCTAGGTGGTCTGGCTGCAGAGCCGGGGCCCCGGCCTCTGTGTGGAGGCCCCGAAGGCCAGCTGCTGAGAGGAGAGAGCGAGGCCCCCGGTGTTCCCACACATGTGCACATGCGTGCACACACACACAAGCACACGCTCAACTTTGGGAATGAGGCTTAGCACAGGTGGGGACATTGTCTTCCCAACCCTGACAAGCTGACAAGGAGAAGGCCTGCCCCAGGTCCTATCAGCTGCACCCCAAAGCCCACCCACAGGCCCTGGGGGGCAGAACCCCAAGGAGGCCCTCAGAGAGTAGCTGGTTTGTGTCCGGTCCTGCCCAAACAGGGAAACTGAGACCCCGGTAGTTTGCGAGGCGTTCACAATGGAGGCCCAGCTCCGTGACTGGAGGAGTCTGAGAGCAAAAAGGTGGGTGGGAGACAGAGGAAGGTGCCTCTGCCCCAGTGTCCCAGGGCAGCAGGCAAAACTCTCTCCCGCTGCCACGTTCACCACCCTGACACACTTCCCTGATTCCTCACGGTGCCGCGTCCTCACAGCAAGCCACGAACGGTGGGCCCATCAAGGCTCATAGAGTCCAAGGGACTTGCCCAGGCTCACACAACAAAAGGACGAGCTTAGACTTGAGCCCAGTTCTAACATCCAGGCAACTCTTTTCCCTTGCTTAATTCGTTTCTTACTTTGTTGGCTCTCTTCTTTCTAGAGCTTTTCTCCTCAAGTTACCAGCTCGTCGGCCTCGCTGCCCCTGAGTCTGCTACACCCACTTCTAAGCATCTCGAAGGCAGGCATCTCCCTTGACTCACTCACTGTCGTCTGCCTGGAGCCCGTCACAGCAACAGGCACAAAGCTGGACACCAGGGGATCTCAGCTGGGTGGTGAAGGAACTGTAATTGGGCTACAGTTTGTAAGTTGATGCCCGTGGTCAGCATGGCCAATTCGGAGATTTCTGTTATTGTGGAAGGACTCACTTGAGTGATTCATGAGGCAAATATGAAGGCAAGCGGGGGAAAGAGGAGTATTGTCAATGTATTTTTGCTTATTTTTCATTAAGATTGCTCCACTTCTTGAATGTGGAGCTCTGTGGAGGAAGGGACAATTCACAGAAGGACGCCAGACGTCCCCTCACAGGGAAGCACTAGGAAGCCAGCCCCCGCTCCCTGTGCTGGGAACTTGGAGAATGTGGGTGGACTGGAGGAGCTCAGTGAAGCCCAGTGGCAGGCTAAGGTCCAGAGGGCTCCAAAGAGAACTCATCTGGAGGGAGAGGGGGACTGGTGGTCTGAGCTCAACATCAGGGGTGACGACAGAGACACATGGGACTTCCATCAGCCTTCCAGTCACGGATCACAATATATTTAAGGAAAAACCCCAACACGAAAGAAATGCCAGTCCTGAGCGGCCAGCCTCCCTACTGAGCACGGTGTGGGTCCGCCTGCGGTTTATGTAGGGATCTGACCCAGCGTAGCATCGCATCCACTAGGATGCATACGGCCAGGCTTCAACAGCGACACCATGTGGCGGGGGCTGAAACGACAGCCCTCGATGGGGTCTCAGCTCCCTTTCTCTCCACTCTTGAGTTTGGAGGCAGGACTGGGCTGCTTTAGATGAAATCCTCAGGGTTCCCTGGTCAATTCAGGAGAGTGGAGGCCCCTGGATGGACACTGAACTTCCTGCTAATGAAGGCTTGGGGTGAGCAATTAATTGGAAAAACAAGAGGTGCCCTTTTTTGTGCTGAGTTGGTGAAGCACTCTTACAAGTCACAGAACAAGTCGGCTTTATCAAATCTGTCACCAGTGACCACAACTATCCACAATGACAAGTAACACACACAGGGGAATTCTTTTATATCTTTAAAATTAATAACAAAAATCACACACACATAATGGCATGCTGTAAGGTACAAAGCTCTTATGCATCCATGCCCCTCTCTGAGCCTCACACCAGCTCTGTGAGACAGGCAGGGCACAGTGATCGTCCCCAGGAAACGGAGGCTCAAAGAGGGACAGTGACTTGCCCATGGTCACCAACAAGTCAATGAGGCCTGGTCCCACCCCTGTCGTGGGGTCCCCAAGCTGCCTCCCGGGGATGCCAGATGCCAAGTCCCTACCCTACCTGCTCACAGCAGCATCAGGACCACGATGGCAATAACCATGAGGACTCCAGCCAGGATGCAAAGGCCCAGGAAGACGATGTCACTGGTGTCCTGGGCCACCATGGCCACAGGGCCCTCCAGCGCCTCCACCTCATCCCTGGGTGGTGCTTCTTGAAGGTGCTCAGCCGTGGCAGCGTAGGGCCCAAGCCAGTCGGAGCCGGACAGCAGGTGGACAGAAGCCTCCTTGCGCCGTGGCTCACAGCGGACCTCGTACTGGTGGATGTCCTCCCGTCCGCCGGCCGAGAAGTCGATGTACAGCACGCTGACGATCACAGAAGTGTTGTTTCTTCTCTGTGGGGTCATGGGGCACTCGCTCGCACCTGGAGGGGCCAGGCTTGACCCTGTTTCCCTAGAAATGTGGGGACTCAGTGCCAAGGGGCAGAGCCCCAGGAGCCAGAGTTCTATTCCCAGCTCAGCCCCTGGCTCCTTCCCCACTCGGAGCCTCAGGATCCCCATCTGTAAAAGGGTGGCACGAGGAGGGTGGGCCGTCTGGAAGGACAATGTCGGATTTGATGGGCCAGTGTTTGCTCTGGCTTCAAGGAGGTGGGGTCTAGGAAAGACCCTAATAATAATAGCAGGGACACTGGGGGACATTTGCCATTTCCCAGGCTCTCTATTTTAAGTGCATTATCTCATTTAATTCTCACAACAACCCTCTCTTGTGGGTACTGTTAATATCCCCGTTTTATGAATGAGGAAAGTGAGGCCCGGAGGTTAAATCCCTCCTCTGAGCCCACACCGCACACAAGTGACAAAGGCATATTCTCATCCAGATCCACTCGTTCTTAACTGTGCTCTCAGCCGTCACTCCTCACTCAAACCAAAGAGCACAGAACTGAAGGGACTCTCAGGGCGCACCGGCCACTCCCCTTCCTTGGCAGTTCAGACGTGACTCCTGAGGCCCAGAAGGGTGATGGCTTGCCCAGAGGCGGGTCCGGAAGCCAAGTCCCCTGCCTCCAGTTAGAAGCTCTGTCCCTGGTGTTAGGCAACTTTCCTTCTGGAATCTTTTCTCTCAGTTACATCTGCAGCAATTTCGTGCCCCTGCTGTTGAGTCCCTGGTCACCCCAGTGGAGCCACTCGAGGGTTGGGAAGAGCCCTTGAGGAGTGAGACGTGGGGGGCCTGGCCCGCTGCTGCCCTCCCCCCACCCACGGATGAGGGAGGCAGGAGTGAAGTTGCCCTGAGACGGTGGGTGTTCGGGCCGGGGACTGAGGGGCAGCATTTGTGGGCAGTCTGGGGTGGTCTGCAGTGGGGGCTGCAGTGACGCACGGCCCCTCTCCCCACCCACCCCAAATCCACCGCAGCTCTTACACTCCCCAGGCTGCCCAACTGCCCCCATCCAGTAGGGGGCACTTCTGAGATGAGGCTTCTAAAATTCAGCGCTGCTGAAACAGAGCGAGTGCACATGAAGAGTAGGAAGCTGCCGTCACGGGGGACTGGGCAGCCCCTTTGGGGGAGGGTGAGAAGGAGAGTCACAAATTTGGAGTTTTGGGGACCAGGTGACCTTGCAAGTCTCTACCAACTGTGGGCTTCCAAAAGGCACAGAGTCCATGTTCCCAAAGGAGCCTCTGTTTTTGTGCCCTTGGTCTGCGGGCCACCACGCCCTCTGAGAAGAACTGGTGGCTGGACATTTGTGACATGGAATCAGGACACTGGACAAAGACAGACAGGCCCTGAGAGTGGAGGGGTCCCAGGGGAAGGGCGGGAGTGAATCTACGTCATGAAGAAGGGAGAGAAAGCCACAGAGATGAGGGTGGGGCAGGTTCTAGGGGTTTTTATGAGTGAGAGACTTGAAGAGGAAAGAAAGGCCCCACAAAATGTGGTGTTATGGTTGTAAAAGCAAGTCTCTGACATTTGCGAAGAGACTCACAGAAAGGTCGTGAGTGCTTTTTTCGCTGCTTTTGGCCCTGTGAGCTGTGTGTCTTTGAAAGCAGCTCAGTGCAGAGACCGGTCCTCGTGGGTCTAGGACTTAGAAGAGTTACTCTAAGGATCCACGAGTCTAAGACTCTCAGCTTTTATGTTTCCACGACACTGACTCCAAGACTCTACGATTCTGTGCTTCCAAATTCTGGCGGTGGTCCCGTGACTCTGAGACAGAGTGTCTGAGGCCCTCATTCTAGATTTCCTCATCCCCTGCTTCTGGGATTGTCTGTCTCCATCATTTCATGACTGTGGAATGCGGTTCTGTCCCAGAGAAAATCCCTGGGGGATTTAGGGCATGGAGTAGGTGTGAGGGCAGGTTATCTTGGCAGCCAAGACTGACCCCCTCTTCTCCCCTTCTCAGGTCACGAGGACAGTGGCTGCCAGAAGGCCGGGGAAGCAGGGGGTGCACTGGAGGGGCAGTGGCACTCAATCTGCTACTGCTGGGGCGGGAGGAGCATGGTTTGCTGCACAGCACACGATTTTTGCCAAGCCAGCCTGGCAAATTCCCGGATGCCAGGGCTGGGCAGTCTCCCTGATACAGGGCTCTGTTCCTTCTTTCCCCTCTCCTCTTCCAAACTCGTCCCTAAGAATACAAACATCTAGGTGCTTGGGCCGCAGCCCAGCGACTCTGAGGGCCTCCAGCCTGGGTTCCCGGCCTCCAAAATGGAAGGACAGTAGAGAAAATTCACTTGTAAGGCTCGCTGCCTCTGGAGGGAAGTGGACCCTGCTACCTGAAGGGCCTTTTGTTGGGTGGAGCCCAGAGATGGATTCGGGCCACAAGGTTGGGGAAGTGGCGAGCAGGAGGCAAGCAGCTCAAACAGCTCTGCATGTCAGAGGGGGGAGGCCTGGTGCCCTCAGCACCTCCAGGGAGAAGGGGACCAACAGCGAGGCAGGCCTCCACGGGTGGGGGGTCAACGGGGCCTTGGGGAGGCGCCTCCAACAGGGCCTCTCAGTCAGCACAGGGAGCAGCGGGGGCCCCTCCTCTGTCTCCCCAGCATGAGCTCTTTGTTGTGTCTACACTGAGCAAGTCTGTTGAGGTGAGGTCAAGAGGGGCTCAGTTCTGCATTCAGGTTTGTGTGGTCACTGGAGCCAGGAAGAGAAGCGGAATTCTCCAGAAGGGCAGGTGCCTGTGAGCAGGCCAGAGCCCCTCCCTCCTGCCTGCCCTCCGCCCCTAGCCCCTACCTGAGACTCGGTGCCACAGGTGTCGAAGCGGGCCTGGATGCGGAAGGTGCTGCCGACTTCCTGGGCAGCACAGCTCCTGCTGCCCAGGTAGACCTTGGTCCGCTCCAGCGGGGCCAGCGCCTGCGCGGAGATCAGGATCTGGAAGTCCGTGCGGGAGCAGCTCACATTCATGGGCACCACTGGGGATGGGAAGGAGGAGCTGGAGGCCTTAGGGGCAGGCAGTCTGACCCCCACTCTCCCCGAGCCCCCACCCAAAGGAGGATGGCTGGGAAAACGGAGGCCCAGAGTGGCGACGGCTCTTACGTCGTCCTAGGGGATGTTTTACATGTGTTCCTCCATTGAACTCCACCAGACTATGCGCTCCGCAGAGCAGGACATGCTCACTTCTCCGTGTCCTCTGAGCCTCACACGGAGCTTGGCAGGCGCAGTGAATGGTCAATGAATGATTGAATGAATGAATGAATGAATATTCTTAATCATAACAAAAGCTTCTGTTTGTTGATCGCTTTGCCATGTGCCAGGCAATTCAATCATTTAACAAATTTTTATTGATGGCCTACTATGTGCAGGCACTAGGCTCAGCACCAGAGACACAACAACAACAACAAAAACCAGCCACAAATTCTTGCCCTCTTGGAGCTTACGGTCTAGTTGGGTGAGGGGGCAATATATCTGTAAAAGACACCTAGGGTCAGAGTGGTCTCAGGGAAAATCAAGCAAAGAAGAATAACAGGGAGAGAGGAATGTTTGCGGGTGTTGCAGTTTCAAAAGGGGTGGTGGGGGAAGCCTCACTCTCCCCACGGCCACCCCATGAGGCGGATGGGACTAAACCCATTTTATAGTTTTGGAAATTGAGGCTCTGAGAGGTGAAGGTGTCTGCAGTGGCTGAGTTGGGATATTCACCACTGAGTCTGTACGATTCCGAAGTTGGCGGCCTCTCTACCCTGTCTGGTGGCCTCCTGCACTCGTCTCAGCCAGGACGCTGTGACCCTACATGTCTGGGTTTGTGTGAGCATGCGTGTGTGCGTGCATGCGTGTGTGCGTGCATGCATGGGAGGGCAGCGCTTGCTGGGGCAGGGGTGAGTGCAGGGGAAAGGAAGGGGGGTGACTAGTGGGAGGAAAAGGAAAGAGCTGGCAGGCAGAGGCCTGGAACTCTCAGCCGTCTCCGGGAAACGCCTCAGACATATTTCAGCCTCTGGTGTCTGGGCAGTCGGGGATTTATGGGCCCGCCGTCTCCCACAATGATCTTGGTGGCGCTGAACTGTGCGTCACCCTTGATTGATGCTGAGGCTGTCCTCCAGCCTGAGGCTGCCTGAAGCCTGGGCCACATCTGGAGCCTCGAGTGCCCCTGTCTGACCCTGGGCTCCCACAGGGATCCAAGGAGGAAGGGGGGCGGGGTGGGAGGGGGCTCCTGGAATGGGAGCCAGGATTAGAGCTGCCGGCCCTCTGTCTCTGGAGGCACCCAAGGAGGAGGGGCTTGTCCCTGATCACAGAGAGCTGGGGGAGGACCCGGGCCCGGGAACAAGACCATCGGCGCCGAAAGAGACCTTAAAGATCCTTCAGCCAATGTCCTTATTTCACAGGTGGGAAAACTGAGACTCACAGAGAGAAAGTGACTTGCCAGCTAGCTGAGACAGACCTCGATGGCACCCGGCTCTCCAGAGTGCAATCCAAGAAGAGGCTGGCTCTAACAGAGGGGACAGCGCTCCTCCCCAGGTCCAGGTGGGGCCAGCCGAGGTCCAGGGAGCATGGGTCTGCCCAGGTCACACCGTGCAGCGAACTTACTGCAGCTCTACTGTTTCCTTCCCCCTCACTGGGACCCCAAACTCCTCTTGCTTACGTGGTAAGGAATGAGGAAAGATCTTTTGAATGCAGAACGGGCCTGAGACACATGAAGGAAAGAATTACCCCTCAGCAAGGGCGTCCCTGCAGCCGGGCACTGTGGCCTGTGCTACCTCGTTTCATCCTGAGAACTGCCTGGCTAGGCGTTTGTCAACCCCTTTCCAGATGAGCCACTCGGATGGTCAGTAAACGGCAGCATCTGGATGCAGCTCTGGTCTGTCTGAGCTCAGCCCTGGGCCCCTCTCCCAGGCCCTGCTCAGCCACGCAAGGAGGCAGGATGAGTCCTAGTCTTGGCTGAGCCTGCAAGAGCAGTGAGACCCCTGCCTCTCTCGGCACCCCCATCCCACACCTGCACAGCAAGGAGCTTTAGCCTGGTCATGCGGAGGGCAAAATGGGCCCAAGGTACAGGCGTTTCTGGGCTCATGGCCCAGGGCAGGCTGTAAGATAGGGGGAGAGATGGTAGACGCTGTCAGCTGGCGAGTGGAACTGGCATTATGGAGGCTGGAAAAGCTGAGTACCAACTGCCCCAACCCCCTCACAGCTAGGCATGGCCATACGGCCAAGTTCAAATCAGTGAGACCAAGAAGTCTTTCGAGGGCTTCTGAAAATGCTTTTGCTTTCCTGATAAAGGGGCATTTGCTTTCCTGATAAAGGGGCATTTGTGGCTGGCACCTCCCCTACCCTCTTCCAGCCTTCAACATGGACATGATGCCTGGAGTAGTGGCAGCCATCCTGCAGTCATGAGGCCAAGAATCCCAGGAATATCAGCTGGGACAATATTGAGTCCCTGACCGACACAGTAGCTGCCAGGCTCCAGACTTCTTGTTATGTGAGAAAAAACAATTGCCGTTTGTTCAAGGCACCCTCAGCAGGATTTCTGAGTGACATAACAAGGCTGGTCAGCATCTCTGGTGTTACAGCAATTGTTTACCATAAACAGTATTACCGCATTTTGCGTGTTCCCCCTGGATACAGATGATCAACCATAGTACAAGAGAGGCCAGGGGCTCATGGGGGAAGGAGCCAGATGGGCAGGGATTAGGGACCATGGATGCGTATGCTAGAAAGGTAAGGGCCTGCAACAGTGGAAACGGGCAAGGGCCATATTGGTGGCAAAGGCCCCAGGGGAGTGGTGTAGCCACCAGAGAAGAGGATGGGGAGACGATGTGTGGGGATCTGGAGAGCTGGTGGGATGGAGGAAGGGGACTGCAAAGACCTGGGACCCTGCCTCACCTCCCCCCCAGCACACGCATGCCCTCCACGCCGGCTGACCTCCTATGTAGGCCACAGAGAAGCCCCTGTGGGTGGCGCTGCGGTCCGTGTGCAGCAGAAGCAGGAGCTGGTTGCGGCTCGAGGTGACGGGTGGTGGCAGGTGGTGGCCACACCAATTCCCCAGCATGGGCGCTTCCTCGCTGGCCCCATCGAAGGCCATCAGATGGTCAAAGTCACAGGTCCTGGTCAGGCTGTTGGGCCCCTCCAGTTCCAGGTCCAGGAAGAACACCTTGACCTGGTAGCCAGGGGGCAGGCGGATGGTCCAGTGGCACCGGATGTTGTTGGGATAGGAGCGAGGGTACTGGGGGCTGGAGAAGTTGCCCCGCACGGCCGTGTACACTTCTTGGCATTCTCCTGGGTGAGGGGACATGGGGCAGAAGGAATCGGGGGAGAAGGGTGGAGACCGTCACCCTCTGCAGCTGCAGCTTGGGCTACAGGTGCCAAGGGCATGCTGAATCGCCCTCGCAGGTTGAGGGCATCATGGCCAGCAAAGCAGACAACTGATCCCAAAGCCTGCTTTAAACTGAAACCAACTGGAAGCTGGGACTCTCTTTCCAATTGGCAATGCCCTTCATGGGTGTTGGCCCTGTTGTGAAATCAGTAACAACACCTAATACCTGTTCTCAGAGTTGTGTCCAAACTTGGACTTGAAAGACAAGATGGTTCATGACCTGACCTTGACAATTTTCTCACCGCCCCTCATCCACCCCTAACTTCCAGCCTCGCCAAACATCTCCTAGCACTACAAGCACACCAACCCTCTACGTCCTCCATGTCTTTGCACATGCTGATTCCTCTTCTTGCAACACCTTTCCCTTCCTTCCACCTCTGGCCAACTCCTTCAAAGCTCAATTCTCTCTTCCTCCAAGAAGTCCTCCATGATTCTTACTGTTAGCTAGCATAGGTCACAGTGGGTTGTCATTGTCTGTTTCCGTTTCCATCTCTTCCACTAGACAGCCAACTCCCCAAGGGTTCGTGCGTTCAATTGTACAAACGTTAACTGACTGCCTGCTAAGTGGCGGTACAAAGACAAGCCCCTAGAAACTCACAGTCAGGCAAGGGAGGGAGATCAACAGGCAAGCCATACACAGAAGTGATGTGTTAGATCAGTGCCATGAAAAATCTTCTAGAAGGAGCTGAAGGAAGGGATTAACTCTGAGTGAATCAGGAAGTCCTCACCAAGGAGGGGACATGCTCACGCCTCGTCCCTGGCCAGGCAGGGAAGTGTGTGCTAGAGCATTCCAGGCAGAGACAGCAGGAAGGGCTTGACCAGGGCAGGGGGGGAGGGGGGCAGACGGGTGCACGGGGGCGGGGCACGGCCAGCCCCTCCTACCTGAGAAGTAGTAGGCCTTGAAGCCCCGACCTGCGATGTTGAAGTCCGACTTGAAGACCACCTGCAGCTCGCGGCCCAGTGACACAAGGGTGGGGGGCCGGGCACTGCCACAGTAGTGGTGCCCGCGGGCGGGGCCGGGCTGCCCCAGCACGGCCACATAGTCGTAGGTGCAGTCCTCATTGCCTTCCACCTGGAAGTCCACGAACACCAACTTGATGGAGGCGGGGCCAGCGGCCCGGATCACCCAGCGGCACTCCACGTTGTTGGGGTAGTTGTTGGGGTACTCGGGGCTGGTGAGGACTCCGGACAGGCCCGTCAGGACACCGCCACACACATCTGCAAAGGAGCCCCTTAAACTGAACTTTCTGCCTCCCCCGCAGCCCCCGGCGCCTCCCTGGGCAGCAAGACACCCCCGGAGTGTTGCTTCCCCGGGGATCTCACGGAACCTCATCCCCATCCAGGGAGCGCCAGCTCAGTGGCAGGTCCAGCCTGGCACTTGGCACCTACTCCATCTTGTTACGTCATTGCCATAACCCCAGAGGAACTTGCGGTGGCTTCTCCCGTTTCACAGCTGAGAAAATAGAGGGACCCAGAAGTTAAGTAACTCACCTGTGTGACCCTGAGACAAGGATCTGAGCACAGGGAGTTTATCTGGGAGAGACAGGGGACCCCAGGTGGGGGGTGAGGGAGCTGAGGCGTTCGTACACCAGCTCCCCAGAATCGGGCCATGGGCTGCGGGGTGTAGAGGTGACCCACCAGACTTCGGAGGAAGTCCTCAAGCAAACAGAAGTGGAGGTTGGCAGGAGCCATTGAAGTGGCAAGGCCAAGGGGCCGTGGGCAGACCCTGACAGCGGGTCACCCAGCTGGTAACTGGGAGAGTGGGTCTGAACCCAGGAGGACTAACTGCCGAGCCTGTGACCTCGACATTGTGATTCTCACTGTCCACTCCTAGCAGGCCAGTGGGGCCCAGAGGCTGAGGGGCCTGAGTGCAGGGATGTAATCAAACGCCCCTAAGCCATGAAGAAACTGAGGCTTAGAGAAAGGGTCTGATGAACTAGAGATGGGCTTGGGGTCTTGCAGACAGGTGTCCTCTCAGCTGTCTTCTATGAGCTGTGTGACCCTGGGCAAGTAGCCCAGCCTCTCTGAGCCTCATGGGAATGTGAGAAATCATAAGAATTGCCCAGCCTGACCTACCAGGCCCAGACACTTTCAGAGTCTGAGAAGGTGCTGTGAAAGCCCTTTGGAACCCAGTGCAGCCAACACAACCAGGAGGTGGGCGATGATGAATGCCATGGCTAGTGGGAGGCCACCAGCAGAGAGGGGCACACTCAGGATGTATTTCTGAGACTCCAGAGTCTCGTCCATGGCATAGCTGTGTGAAGGGAACACCGGAGCACCACGCTGGGTGGCTAAGGATTTGATCCCTTGTCCTAGCACTTCCCCTTCCCAGCTGTATGACCTTGGGAAGGTCACACACATTCCCTCTCTGGTCTCAGATTTATTGTTTGTGAAATGAGAGGGTGGGGTTTTGACAGCCTGCGAGATCCCTGCCAACACCAACACCCTTAGCAGAGGCTTTCAAACTGTGCTCTGGGTCTCCAGTGGCTCCTGGGGGCATCTATCTGCAGGTATCTGGTGCAAACTTCATTCTCATGTTGTAGTTCAAACTATTTTTTAATGCAATTAAAGACAGCATCCACAGTGACATGTCTTATATATAAAAATTTAACTCACTGGGGGCGGCCCCCGTGGCCCAGTGGTTAAGTTCATGAGCTCCACTTTGGCAGCCCAGGGTTTCACCAGTTTGAATCCTGGGTGCGGACATGGCACCGCTCGTCAAGCCATGCTGGGGCGGAGTCCCACATGCCACAGCTAGAAGGACCCACAACTAAAATGTACAACTATGTACTGGGGGACTTTGGGGAGAAGGAAAAATAAAATCTTTTTAAAAAAAATTTAGCTCATTGGAGGTCATCAATACTGACTGTGTTTGGCTTACAATAAGCAAATGTTGAAAACAAATGCATACCGCTAAAATACTGCCTTTATCTTTTTTATATCAGACACTAAGATAAGGTTGCACTTGATATAAGAATATTACTTTTCTTCTTCTTCTTCTTTTTTTTTTTGGTGAGGAAGATTTGCCCTGAGCTAACATCAATTGCCAATCTTCCTGATTTGTTTGTTTGGGGTTTTTTTTGTTTGAGGAAGATTGGCCCTGAGCTAACATCTGGGCCCGTCTTCCCCTACTTTGTATGTGGGATGCCTCCACAGCATGGCTGATGAGCAGAGTAGGACTGTGCATACATCCAAACCCATGAACCTGGGCTGCTGAAGCAGAATGTGTGGAAATTTAACCACTCGGCCATGGGGCCAGCCCCCAAGAATACTTCTTTTTAAGGCATTTAAGGTTTTAAGCTATGGTGGAAAACTCTGTCCATTGTACTATGACTTTGATGTCCTAACATTCTAAAAATCTAAATTCCAAAACTGTGATTAGATCAGTCTGTGATGCTGTGTTTTAGCATTCTACAATTCCGTGCCTCTGAAGCCAGCGGGACTGGTGTCCCCCAGCCCCGCAACAGCTGTCAGTAGGCCCTGCGCACCAGGAGCCTCTGTCATCGTCTATTGCTTGAGCTGACCGGAAAAGGCGTTTGGTCTCGGCCTTGGGAAAAGGGAGGAGGTTTGCGTCTGCGCAGAGAAGCCTGAGGACAGGAGAAACGAGTCAGGGAGAGGCCTTTGCTCCCTCATGAGGCCAAGGGGCGGGCTTCCCGCCTGGTGGAGGGAGGGACCTGGTGAAGGGAGGGATCTGGTGGAGGGAGGGAGGCATCAGGGACCTGCGATCCAGGAGGCAGTTCAGGACAGGCTCTGCGAGGGAGCACGTCACCAGCCCCACACAGACCCCCCTGCAGCTCCTACGCCTGACGACGTGGGGGGATTCCTGTGCCCGTGCAGTGATGGGTGATGGGATGCCACAGAGGGACCAGCAGCAGTGGCACATGGTGTCCCCTGCTGTGTCCTGACGCCGCGGCATGGGATAAGAAGGACAAGGATAGAAAAGCACGAGTGGCCTTGTTCCTGAGCACAGGAGACCCCCGGGGGCTGCCAGGAATAGCAAAGGGAGACGTGGGGAGTGTTGCTGTGAAGGTGGGAACCCACAACCACCAAGACTGCACACGGTGCCCCACGAGCTCCGAGAGCAGGGTCATCCCGGCGGTGGAGCAGCCGACATGCTGAGATACCGAGGCCCTGCGAGCCCTCCCTGCCCCCCCCAGCCCCACTGCTCTCCCCCCACCTCCACCCAGGGCCACCCTCTCCCCCGCCAAGTCCCCTTGCCTTTCTGGTAGGCTGCAGAAAAGCCACGGCTGGCCACGTGCTTGTCAGAGTGGAAGATGACAGACATGACGTGCCAGGAGGAGGTGAAGGGCGGTGGGGGCACCTGGCCGCAGAACCTCCCCAGCAGGTTGCCCTTGTCTCCCGACGCCCCATTGTAGATCTCCAAGAAGTCAAAGTCACAGGTGTCGTGGTACTCCAGGTCGAAGGTGTGGAAGGTGAGCAGCACAGAGGAGCCCTCAGCCACCACAATCAGCCAGCTGCACTCCGTGTTGTAGGGGTAGAGCCTGGGGAAGTTGGGGCTGGAGAAGTTCCCAGAAGGAGCAGAGAGCACACCCCCACATTTGACACCTGGGGCAAGAGGTAAGAATGGCTCAGAGTCAGTGCTGGGGTCTTGCTGGTGGGCCCAAGGACAAAGCTGGGTCTTTGAGATGGATGAGGAAGCATGAGGCCGTGGCCCCAAATCAATTCATTTCTTCACGCATTTGTTCATTTGTTTACTTATTCTCCAAATACTTCTCAATTATTCTTTTTTCATTCAACAAATACCATCTGAGCACTAGGCTTTGTTCTAGGTGCTGGGGTTACAGGAGGAACAAGAGAGACAGTCAGACTCCTGCCCTCATGGACAGTACTCTGCGGGGGAGACAGACAGGACACCTGACGGGGAAACTAGGGAGCATATCAGACAGCGATAAGTGCCGTGGAGAGAACCAGAGCAGGGACGGGGACAGGAGTGTCGGGGGTCATAACTTCAGATAAAAGAGTCCTAAATGCCAGGCCCTAGACATGCGCAGGGGGAAATTTAAAAATTAAAAATAATAATAACCCTCTACCCAGAGTGAAAATGTGCACAGCCTATTAGTGTTAACAGTACATTCTTATATGTATATATTTGCTTATATTTAAAAAAAGAGGGGCCAGCCCAGTGGCTTAGCAGTTAAGTTCATACGTGCTGCTTGGGTGGCCCGCGGGTCACTGGTTTGGATCCCAGGAGCAGACTTACAGACCGCTTATCAGCCATGCTGTGGCAGGCGTCCCACATAAAAAGTAGAGGAAGATGGGCACGGATGTTAGCCCAGGGCCAATCTTCCTCAGCAAAAAGAGGAGGATTGGTGTTGGACATTAGCTCAGGGCTAATCTTCCTCAAAAAGAAAGAAAAGAAAACAATGGAAGGAAACTAATAAAAATGGTTCTTTGCCAGGGGAAGGAGGATACAGACATGACTCCTGGACCTCTTTAAATGCAACTCGTTTTATACTTTTGACTTTATAATCATGAGTACTTTTTAGTATCATTTTAAAAGATCCAAAAAATTTTAAAGTAACCCCTAAATATCCCAAACTGAAACAAATGAACTCAACTCTGCATCAAGTTGGAGGCACATCCCCATGGGGAAATGATTTCAAATGACTTTGAAATACACTATTTTGACGGCACATTCCTAGTGAGATACATTCCAAGGACAAAATGAACCACACAGACATCTTCAACTGCATTCAGTAGACTTACTAGTAGGAATACTGGTAAATACTGTTATTTTACCAGTATTTTATATATTGGAATAGACGAATATGCTAATGTCAATAGAAACTAAGATTTTCAGAGAGATACAAATATAAAATTAAAAAATTAAGCAGAACACTTGTGATCCTTAATTTGAATCAAAAACATGAGTATGAATTTAAGGTATTTTTATTTCTAAAAAAAAAATTAATTTCCCAGCTCTGTTCACTAAAAAGGCCTAAAAGCAACGATATTCCAGTGGTATTTAGAACCCCTAGGTCTTTGATTAGGATTATTACATCCAACTAAAATGAACCAGGGCTCCTTAGACAGAAGGTTGGTCTAGGACAGGAAAGGTACAAAATACACTCGGGACAGGTTGTCACACCGGAAAGCATAGAAGCTGACATATCAGAGTCTGCTGGGACCGTGTCAAAGGACATAGGAACCTCCTCAAAGGGGCTGCCACCGGCTACAGAAGCTCCAACTAGAGCATGGAGAAAGAACAATGATTGAAACACATCAAATATATAAAAATTCATGAACTCATAATGTAACTCAAAATAAATTAAAAAAAAACATTGGTTTCTTTTACAGGTTGCTGGGGCATGAACTCATTTTTTTGAAAACTGATATAGAGAAAAAGAAAGAATTAAGCTTCCACTTTGCCTTTCCTGTTATGGAGTGTATTTCAGGATAACCAAACAGCTGATGAAGGAAGATTGTTATTTATAGAAGGCTGCAGAAAGAATGACAACATTAGAAAAACATAATTTTGCAAATTTAATGAAATTATCATCATCGATGTCTGTTCTAATCACCAAGTAAAAAGGTAAATGATGAGACGTCAGCCCTAGATGGTGGGGACAGGGGGTTCCATGTGAAATTGTCTCAACTTTGCTAAATGTTTGAAAGTTCTTATAATTAAAAACATACCAAAAAAGTTACCTTTATAGGGAACATTATAATGGATGGATCAGGCTAACAACCCCTGAAGCCGCTTATTAATCTAACATCGAAGCAGAATGCTGGATAATATGTGCCCTGATATAAATCCACACACACTACCTACAATGTCTTCTTGAAAAGAAATAAAGGAACTTGAATCTAGTGAAGTCATGGGTCTGTCTAGAAGCTAGAGTGAATACGGAAGCTAGAGGAACATTCTAAATGATGTCATGAGGATACATCCAGCCAAGTCCAGAACGTGGGAAATTTTAATCACCCAGGTGCTTCAACAGTAAACAAGGGGGAAAAGGAGGCACAAGTGCTGTATTAAAAGAGACTCAATCAGGGGCTGGCCCTGTGGCCGAGTGGTTAAGTTCGCGCGCTCCGCTGCAGGCGGCCCAGTGTTTCGTTGGTTCGAATCCTGGGTGCGGACATGGCACTGCTCATCAAACCACGCTGAGGCAGCGTCCCACATGCCACAACTAGAAGGACCCACAACGAAGAATCTGCAACTATGTACCGGGGGGGGGCTTTGGGGAGAAAAAGGAAAAAATAAAATCTTAAAAAAAAAGAGACTCAATTAGAAGAGAACACAGCTGGTGAGCTCCTTGACGTTGGTCTTGGCGATGATTGTTTTGGATCCGACTGCAAAAGCAAAGGCAACAAAAGCAAAAATAAACAAATGAGACTACGTCAAACTAAAAAGCTTCTGCACAGCAAAGGAAACCATCAACAAAATGAAAAGGCAACCTACTGAATGGGAGAAAATATTTGCAAATCATATATTGGATAAGGGGTTAATATCCAAAATACATAAAGAACTCATACAACTCAATAGCAGAAAAACAGACAGTCCAACTAAAAATGAGCAGAAGAGATGGCTAACAGGCACATGAAGAGGTGCTCAGCATCACTAATCTTTGGGGAAATGCAAATCAAAGCCACAGTGGGATATCACCTCACACCTGTTAGAATGGCTATTATCAAAAAGACAAGAAATAACAAGCGTTGGTGAGGATGTGGAGAAAAGGGAACCCTGTGCACTGTTGGTGGGAGTGCAAAGTGGTGCAGCCACTATGGAAAACAGTATGGAGGCTTCTCAAAAAATTAAAAATAGAACTACCACACGATCCAGCAATCCCTCTTCTAGATAGATAGCCAAAGGAAGTAAAAACAGAATATGGAAGAGTTATCTACACCCCATGTTCATCGCAGCATTATTCACAATAGCCAAGATATGGAAACAATCGTTAGTGTTCGTCAACAGAAGAATGGCTAAAGAAGATGTGATATATACACATGGAAACAGAGAGTAGAAAAGTGGCTGCCAGAGGAGAGGCTGGTTAAAAAGAGAGAGATGCCAGAGCCGAATATCAACCACGTGCAATGTACGGACTCTGTCTGGATGTGATTTCAACAAATCAACTGTAACGAGATTTTTTTTGCAATAATTGGGGAAAACTGAACATGAACTGAGTGTTAGATAAAATTAAGGAATTATTATGCCATTATAGTGATATTGGGGCCATATACATACGTACATATATATATATATATATACACACACATACATACATACATTTATATATATCTATCTTTCTCTGTTAGAGATATAATCTGAAATATTTTGGGTGACGTAATATGATAACTGAGATTGGCTTTAAATTTCTCCCCAAATGGAGGTGCAGGTAGGACAGAAGAAACAAGAAAGGCAGAATGTTGACAATCGTTGAAGATGGTTGCTGGAGACACAGGGATTCATGACACTATTTTCTCTGCTTTGTGCGTGTTTGAAATTTTTCATAATTAAAAGTTAAAAAAAAAATAACCAGCAAGTCTTTGGTCACCATCTCAGTGAGGCCCTCCCACCCAGCCTGCTCACACTGAGACCCTCTCCCTATCCTCCCCCCATTTTCTGCCGCATTTGCTCCGCAGTGCTCACCACCATAGGGTGGACTATTCGTTCTCTTGTTTGTTTGGTCATTGCCAGTCTCTCCCCACAGAACTGTCAGCTCCATGAGAGTGAGATTTTTGTCTGTGCTGCTCTCCAATGAATTCCAAGCACCTAGAACAGTACCTGGCACAAAGCAGGTGCTCAGTGTGCATTTGCTGAATGAACAAACGAATGAACGAATGAGTGATCTTGTAACATCCTCACAATAGCCCCATAAAATAGACAGGGCAGGTGTCATTGACCCCATTTTACAGAGGAGAAAACTGAGGCCCAGAAAGGGAAGCTACTTGCCGGAGCTGACATCTATTATTTTGGTCTGCAGAGCACCCATCCCTCCACCTCTTGCAACAAGACACCCCCGATTTTAGACACTGCTCCCTTCCCTCACCTTCACGGAGTAACCCTCCCTCGCCCTTCCCTGCCCCTGGGATGGACACATGACCCCTGGGCAATCCTTGCCCCTCCCCGCCCCTTGACTGGCCTGCAGGTGAGCCTGGCTCTAGGCCAGGCCAGAGTGCTGCTGCAGAAGGCCTGGACCACAGCCCTCTCCTGGGGCTGAGGCTGGGAGTGAGAGCCTGGGCAGGACGGCGCTCAGGGCCCATGGAGAAAGCTTGTCCGCAGACCACAGGAACCACGTGCAAGTGGCAAGGCCCTGAGGCTGAGAGCCCTGGGTGCTGGCATCCCTGAGCCTCACTCAGCTACACTCCTGCCCCGCGGCTCCAGAGCCAATGCATTCCTCTTCTTACTAAACTCATCCAGGTTGGGTTTCTGTCACTTGCAACCAAAAGGATCCTGAAGAATGCACTTAATTAAAGTTCCTATAAGAGAAGACACAGTCACCAAGCATGTGCCCTGTAGCAGGCCTGTGCTGACTCACATGGGTCCCTCCCTGGGGAGCTCACAGTTGGAGGGGGTGGGCAGTCAGGAAAATGAGAAGAAGACATGCAGTGTGATTGTGCTGGGGCCACACAGGGGCTCTGGCATCCAGAGGAAGCAGGCCAAGTTTGCTGGGGCCAGCATTGTCAGGGGAGGGACAAGATTCACTGAGGAGGTGATATTTGAGTTGGACCAGGAAGACCGAGAAGCTTTGGCTAGCTGGGGAAGATCTGGAGGGAGGAACTAGCATAAACGAAGGCTCAGACAATCCCTCGTCCTCCTTGGGCCTCAGTCATGCAGCTGCGAAGTGGAGTAATGACCCCTCCCCTGCTGGGTGGCTCTGAGTGCTCATGAGATAAAGCCACGCAAGGGCAGCGAGACGCACACCCAGTCCACATTATTGGCTCCCTGCCTGGCCCCCGGGGCCTGCCAGGGCAGGAACGATGTCTGATTCGTGGCAAGAGGACAGAGGGACATTCTGTCCTGTGCCTGAGCTTGTCCTTCCCCCAGATCTGCCCACAGGACAGGAAAAGCCATGAGAGCATCAGAGCAGAACTCCTGTGGCCCAGGAGGCCCTAAGCACCAGCACAAGCGGTGGCCTTGTCCTCCAGGACTCAGGCAGGCACCCTGACCTCTAGGGTGACCCCAAGGCCACTGAAGCCCCCGTGGCTGGAAAATGGGAACAGCTAGCTCCTCCCACCAACCAGGCATGGAGTGAGATGCCTGGGTGCCCAACCCATCTCTGCCACCGATTAGGTGACTGCCAAGTAACGTTTCCTTCCTGAGCCCCACTGGAGCCTACAGGAAAATGAGGCACTGCCGCTGTTTGCTGAGCCCCTTGAAGATGGGTGAAATGATATCGCCCTGGCTTCACAGACAGGCACACAACGCTTGTGGGGCTGGACCAGCACAAAGCAACCTGGGACCAGAGTGCCCGCAGAGAGTTCTGGGAGCTCCAACAACAGAGCATCTGAGGCTGAGGAAGGGACCTGGAAGGCTTCCTAGAGGAGGTGATGTTTGACCTGAGCTTGATGGATGAGCCAGATGTTCTCAAGTGGAAAAAGAGACCTGCCAGGCAGAGAGGACAGCAGGTGAAAGCCCCGAAGGTAAAGCATCTCCAGAAAGGGGTGTGATCCTCCACCAGAGCATGGGACACACAAGTGACGCAGGGAACCGAGGCTCGATACCATATAGAAATTGGAGCCAACGCTTGGAGGGCACTGAACGCCGAAATAAGGAACTCTGGCCTCACTTGGCTGGTAGTGGGGAGGTATAGCAGGCTCTCAGGAGGAGAACAGACTCCTTCCAGTAATAGATGTTTAACAGTCCCGGAGCCCACCCCTGAGCCCTTGGTGACCTTGTAGCCCTGCACAGGTTATTCAACTTCTCAACCCTCAGTTTGCTCATCCGTAAACTGGGGCACTCACACCCACATTGCCGTTTGTTGTGAAGATTCAGTGCAATGGCATATGTAAAGATCCAGTAAATACTGACTTGCCCCCGTCTCCAAACAAATACATCCTCAACTCAGCCGACTTCCCCAGAATGGCCTCCCGCAGAGAAAACTCCGGAGACCTAGCTGCTGCCTGGCCCACCTGCCCCCTCCTCCAGCCCCTGCCTGGCCCACCCGCCCCCCTCCTCCGGCCTCTGCCTGGCCCCGGAGCTCCTACCTTTCATGGCCTGGGCCCTGGGGCCTGGGCCCAGCAGTGCCACTGCCAGCAGCAGATAGGACCCCAGCTCTGCCAGCATGTCCTCACCGGGGCCCCCACAGGTCTGCAGCTCGGGGCAGGCCAGGATCTGAGGGTCGGAGCAGGGAAAGAGAAGAGAGGCTGAAAGGGCCCCTGTGTTAATGGTGGCGTGAATAATTCATGAGGCCCTCGAATTAGTAAGCTGATGCCCAGGTGCTTCCTTCACTCCACTCTAAGGTGACGGATCTAGTGTCCCCAGGTTTACACGTTCTGAGATCTGCACCAGCCACACGGTATCTGGGAGGGAAGCAACTTGGGGCTGGAAGGGAATTTGATGGTGGAGAAAGGGCGTGAGTTTTGGGCTGGGCAGATCTGGGGTCCATCCCAGGTCAGCCTCTAACTTGCTAGGTGACCCTGAACGAGTTATCTAGCTCCTCTGGGGTCTCAGTCTGACTCCTCTGTCCAGTAGGGCCATTCAGTGGGAAACTGGACATGACAACACATGCTAAAGCACATGGTGGATGTCGCTGCAGGTTTTCCCATCCCCCCCACCCAGGGGCGCTGAAAGAAGCCTCTAATTAGTGGGACAAGGGGACAAGCGTCCTTCAGCCATGCTTCGACTAGCTCAGAGGGAGAGAGAAGGAGGCTGTGATGAGGGAAAAGCTTCTCCATGGAAGCGTGCAGCAGGAAGAACAGAACAGGAAAATCGTATCGTGCGAGTCCTAATGCAATCGTGGATCCAGGCCACAGTGTAAATTCTGCCAGAACATTAAATGTTCACTCCTTTATTGACCCACAAACTTGCTTGCACATCACTACATGCCAGGCGCTGTGCCAGGAGCTGGGGCTGCAGAGATGCCCTCAAGGGCTCTGGTCCAACAGGAAACAGGATCCTTCTGTTTCCTTGGGGAGTCTGTGTGATTCACTTCAGCCCAACGCTCCTTCCCAGGTGCCCTCCCTGCGCAGAGCCTGCACCCGCTCTGTGCAGAGCCTGCACCAAGCGCAGGGCATCTGAGGGGAACGTGGCACCCTCCTGCCTCCCACTGAGGAGCCTGGGCGCTGCTTTGACAGACGAGGTCTGAATCCTGGCTCCACCACGCACTGCCGGGCTGTGGGAGCCTAGGAAAGTCACCTAGCCTCTCTGAGGCCCAGCCGCCTCAACTGTGAACCAGGAGCAAGGAGGTAGCCTGCTGTTTGCCCTGAGGATTAGATGAGATAACACAGGGAGATCTCAGCCAGTGCCCAGCTCACCGCATAGGAGCAAGTACGATTTCTGTTTACCTCGGAGGAATTCAGATGTGCATTGCCAGACCACATGTTGCCTCTGGGCCATCCTTTTGTCAGGAGGTCCCCAGGGAGCCCTTGCTGCCAGCATGGGAGGCCACCTGGCAGGTGCTCAGCAAAGAGCATTAAGAATAGTCAGGCCTGAGGGATTGGCTTACCTGTGGGGCTTGATTGGCAGGAGCAGAAAGGTTCAGCCGTCCCAGGCAGTCTGAGGGGCTGGAGACTTTTATTAAACACCTACTGTGTGGATGAGAGAGGGTGCTAACAAGTCCTCTAGGTGCTGGGCATGGTGCTAGCGTGCGGTTGTGTCTTCCCAGCTTCAGAGGAACGTATCGATTCCCCATCTTACGCAGGAGGAAACAAAGCTCAAAGATTTGAGCCACTGTCTTGGGTTGAGTTGCTCCACCAGAAGACTCTGTGACAAGGATTCGAGGGCAAGTGGTTTATTTGGGAGGCGACCCCAGGAGGCACAGGCAGGGTATGGAGGAGTGACACAGGGATGAGAAGAAGCCAGTTCAGGGTGTGTTAATGAGCAGCTTACCATTGTGGGCAATCGAGTCTCAATCCCCATGGGCACCTTGGGGAGACAGTGTAGACCACGGCCCCAAGCTGCTCCCCTCAGGGGCGAGGAAGCAGAGCGTTTGTCCACCAACCACTGCGCGAGGGCATCACCACCCCGGGCTTTTCCAACCCACCCGTGAGCAGCCCGAAAGTCCAGGGGTTGCAGGTGAAGCCATCTGCATGGCTGGGAATGGTGAAAGCCACGATGCAGGCGGGGCTGCGACAGCATTGACGGAGTCACGCATAATGGAAGACTGTCACCCTTATTGTGACTACACCCTGGACTTGCCATCCCCCCTAATCGCCCCACCTCTGAAACATTGGCCCCACCTTCCAGACAGCTGCCTCCCCTCCCGCACATTCCGGCGACCTCCGCCACTCTGGCCTCTTCTCCCTGCTGTCCTCCCCCTACCTCAGAGATCCCTTGCCCCGCCTTCCCTCTTGGGCTTAGATTCCAGGGTCAGGGTTGTCCTGGTCTCCTTTCATGACATCTGCTGGACAAGCCCAGCTGGCCACATTCTCCCCTGTGTGTCTGGACCTCTGAGCGCTGCTGGCAGAGTCTGTCACGACGTAGGCAGCACAGCACCTGTCATGGTCTCAGCCTGGTCCAGGATCTCAGTTCCGCCCCAGCCTTTCCCTAGGTGGCTCTCTCTCTGACTGTCCACAGACATCGCCCCAGATGGTCACCAGTCTCCTGGAGACAGCACATCCCCCCCCACCTGAGGAACAAAAAGGCACGTAAGGCCTCCGCCTCACAGCCCTCACCCCGTCTCTGAGCTCTCACACTCCTCTTCTCTCCAGCCTCAGGGCACGCAGTCCCACCTCCCTTGCGAGGCCAATCCCTCCACCTGTGCCGGGAGCCCACCCCTCCCACTGGCTCAGGGACCTACCCTTCTGTGTCCTCCGCCTCTCTGGCCGGCCTGGCCTTCTTCCGTCCACGTGTAAGACATGCAGGTCTCCCACAGAGGGGGCTGGGGAAACGAACCCCTTCCATGAGACTGTGTTTCCCCTGAGCTCCCACCCTGTCCATCTGCTGGCTTTCACAGCCAAGCTCCCTGAGCAGTGTCCACACCTCCCATCTTCATTTTCTCCCCTCCCTCCTCCAAGGCCTGCTGGGCTGCTCTCCCCACTACAGTCAAACTATTCATGTCCTGGTCACCAACAACATGCTGGGCACCAAATCCTATCAGTGCTCTCTCTTTCTCCTGAGTAAACCATGTGCGTTCACATCCTTGTCTCACAGTCTGCTTCTGGGAGAGCCCAAACTAAGACACATGCCCAGGCCTAGAACGTCATTGACAAAGAGGAGAGGTCACCGTGACTGGCTAGCACCATTCACCCCCAAGACCAGGCTGCTGCTCCCACAGCAAAATGAGCACCTGAGCTTGGTCACCGTGTTAGGCTCTGAGACAACTTCTGAAGCCCTCACTCCCTGCGGTCACTGGCTGTCCCCTGCGTTACCACAGCAGTCTCTCACCGGCCTGCGTGTCTGCTCTTGCCAACCCCAAACCACAATCTGCTCTGCTCTTTCTAAGACGCTAATCTGACCATGCCACCCCTCTGCTCAGGATAAAATCCACAGTCCTCTGCGTGGCACCCACGCGTCTTCAAGAGCCCCGCTCTCAACACATCTCCGACTTTCTCCCCATCTCGAGCTCCACATCCCAGCCACCCGGCATCTCTCAAACTTCTCACGTGCTGTGCCCTGAGCCTGGATTGTCCTTTCTGCCTCATCTTCCCCTGACAGATTCTTACTCATACTTCAAAATGTTGTCCCCTCCTCCAAGGTGTTGTCCTGACCCTACCCCAAGCTGGGAGAGTGGGCACACCTCTGGCACAGAGAGGACCACCTGTGCTGTGGCTGGCTGGCTTTTCTCTGAATACCCTCTGTCTTCTCCAGCTTCCAGCCCAGAGCACATCCTCTCACTTGGCTCCATCCCTGCTTCATGCCCTCCCCAGAGCACCCTCCCCAGCACGCCCCCTCCAGCACACGCCCCCCAGCACGCACCCTGTCAGCACGCCCTCCCCAGCACGCCCTCCCCAGCACACCCTCCCCAGCATGCCCCCCAGCACGCCCTCCCCAGCACACCCTGAGTGCTCAGCAGCCATCTATGGACTGAACTGCTCAAGGACACACAGCTAGGAAGCATCCTTGTCGGTTTGAGCCCATCTTCACCTGTGTCCAAAGCGTGTGCTTGTAACGCTGCCCATGGAGTGGCAGGGTGGTCTGGTGTGGTGGTTAGGCATGGAGCTCCTAGAACAGGACCATGTGGGTTCAAATCACAACTCTGGCAGTCAGTGGCTGTGTGACCTTGAACAAGTCACTTTGCCTCTCCGGGCCTCTGTTTCCTCACCTGTGAAATGTGAACGGCACCTAGCTGTTGGGCCTTGTCAGGGTTAAATGGGTTAAGACACGCGGATAGCAAAGGAGAGGGCCCGCACACAGTGAGCCCCGAAAGAGTCTTTCCTCACCCTGCCTTCCGTTCCATCTGTGTGAACTGCCAACGCTACGCACACCTCAAGCCTTTCTCACCCTTCTCTTTTCAACCTGTCTCTCCTTGAAGCCACCTCCGGTGGAGCCTCCCCTGCCTGGCTGCCCCGTCCTCCAATCAGCAGCCTGGCCATGGCTCCTCTCTCCAGGGGAGGTGGTAGAGATAGAACAAAGGCCACGGCCCACATGGGTCATTAGGGACTGCCTGAGCCGCTCATAGGACAGTCACCCCCAGGCACCTGCCAGCGCCCTGCTGTGCTGACTCCCACGGGCCGCGCCCTGAGGACTCACCTCAAACTTCCAGGGATGTCTGAGCATAGAGATGACCCTCCTCTCCATGGCTGGCTCTGCAGCACTCCAGAGCCAGCGGACAAGGGTGGTCCCTGACGGGGCATTGCAGTATGTCTGGGGTGAGGGGCTGCTGGCGTGCGCGCCTGTTTCTGTCACCGTGCACACTTGTCTGTCTCTGGGTGCACCTGTGTTATCATCCGGTCACACTGCTTCCTCGGGAGTACGAACTCATCTTAGTGTCCATGCATTGGGCCCCAGGTGCACTGGTCTCTCTGTGGGTGACTGTCCATCTCTGAGTGACGGACAGTCTGGGCTCTGGGTGAACATGCCCGTGAGACTGCACCCATCGCCGTGCATTCATAACTGTTCCTTTGTACACATGCCCGTCTCTGAGTGTACACAAGGATCACACACACTCTGTCTCTGTGTATACACACGTCTCTGTCCATGGATATCCACCTAGACCCGCATTTACCAGCTCTCTCTCTGGATCTATACAAAGATTTCCGAGGGAATGTCCCTTGCTAGGTGTGTTTCCGTGTCTGAGCGCAAATTTCATAGCTGCATGTGTGCCTGACAGTCTCGGGGGACAAGTGTCTCTCCCCACGTGCACATTTATCTTCCTAAGCGTGTCAACTCCCATGCATGATCGGCTCTCGGCTGGTATGCAGGTCTGTGTCTCAGTGTGAAGTTAGTGCCTCTGGGTGTGCTCACCCGTGCTCGAGTGCTCACAGCTCCGAGTGCATGTGCCCACAGAGCTCTGGGGTGCACTTCCATATCTGGGGCTCTTCTCGAAGCCAGTTTTGTTTTCTTATCAGCATTCTGTCATTGTACCGGGGTAGAGGGATGGTGCCCATGAGATCCCAAGGGTGCTGCCCACAGCCCCCGTTTTCCATAGAAGTCTGGGCTGACAAATGGGGTGAGGCAGGGAGCAGGGAGGCCACATACCATCCCCTGCTCCCCAGCCCCGGGATTCCTGGCTGGGCCCCAGGGAGCCACACTTCTTCATTAACCAGAGCCCTGGGGACTTAGGGGAGCTTCCCATGAGTGTGGGCGTGGTGGTAGAGGCCAGGAGGTAGGAACAGTCAGGGAGCCCCCCACTTTCTGCTCCTGACGTCAGCAGGGGCCGGCCCTGCCTGGAGTGAGATGGGTACGTCATATCCTAGACTTCCTCTGCCAGGGCCTGACAGAAAGCCCACCAGTGTGAGTGGGTGTGGGAGGCGGGGAGCGAGGGGCCCCTCTATGACAAGGAGTGGGAGGAGAAAAGACAGAACAACCAGGAGAGAGAGAGGTGAAGGGTCCAGCAGGGAGTGCAAAGCTGAAGGCAGGGCAGGCAAGAGAAGGCACAGCAGGCAGGAGGAGGCAGACCCCAGGGAGCCAAGGCTGGTGGTGGGCTGCGTGGAGTCCCTGCGGACAGCCAGAGGGGGCCCACAGGGTCTTGCTGGCTTCCCACACCCCTGGGAGCCACACCAGCCACAGGGCAGCGACTTAGCCCAGAGGAGGAAGCCACATGCCCGCCTCCTCTCTCCCATCTCTCTGTCTGTTTTTCTCTCACAGTGACTCTGCCCTGTCCCTGTTCCCAAAGGCTGGAGTGCGAAGGCCACACACCAGGAACGACATCCCAGATGACCAGATGGGCCAAGGACGAGGTTTCCCGAGACCCCTGGACAAGGGCGTGACCTTCACAGTCTCCAGCTCCTGGGCCAAAGGGGAGAAAGCCAGGA